CAGACAAGCACCTGCAACATAACACCCCAGACTTAACAATTGTCGATAAGAAAGACAAAAAAGTCTGGATAGTGGACGTGGCAGTGCCTGGAGACAGCAGAATAGAAGAGAAAGAACTGGAGAAGATAACAAAATACAAAGACCTACAAATAGAAATAGAAAGACTGTGGCAAAAGCAAGCAAGGGTAGTACCAATAGTCATAGGCTCCTTGGGTGCAATCCCAAAACAACTGGAGCACCACTTGAACACCATTGGCATTGACAAATTCGCTATTAGTCAATTGCAAAAGGCGGCCTTATTAGGAACTGCTTCCATCCTGCGACGATATCTGTAATACCATCAAACATCCACATCTGCCTATCCCAGGTCCTGGGTAAGGACTCGATAGGTAGACAAAATGCCAAATCCACTCTGAACATCTGGCTGACTGTGCGATGATTAATAATAATAATAATAATAATAATAATAATAATAATAATAATAATAAAGTTGGAGGTCATCTAGTCCAACCGCCTGCTCAGGCAGGAAACCCTATACCATTTTGACAAATGGCTGTCCAGTCTCCTCTTAAAAACTTCCAGTGTTGGAGCATTCACCACTTCTGGAGGCAGGTTGTTCCTGTGGTACTCAGCAGGGTCAAATCCAAGCAGGTGACATCAATGGAGATGATTCCAAAAGTGGTAGCCCAGGCCAAAGTCTTGGTATTGAGGAAGGAAACTTCAGACACAGTTACTTTTGCATCACCCAGAGCTTGAAACGAGAGATTTAGCCAAGAATATGGTTTCATTCTCAGGCAGTTTCATTCTGAGAATTAATTAACCACTGTGCTGCTTTGTAGAACTGTGATATATTTGACTAACGTGGTGTGATAAGTGATGGCAGCCACTCTGATTCATAAACCATAGTTTATGACCCCACGGGATGCAATTACCATGTCAAGCTGTTGCATTGGTGCTTTGGGCTTAGCTGGTTGCGTAAATCCAATTATTAAGGTTTGTGAACAATACTTTATTCCTTAACATAATCTGTGAACTCATCTTATTGCATTTAATTCCACAAGTCATCATTAAAGCAAACCATAGGTTAATGCATCATGTAAGCTCAAGGAATGAGACATTAATGGGTCTCTCTCAGAAGCAAATCCCAATATGTTCAGTAGAATTATTATCATGTAAAAGTTCATACGACAACCAAGCCTCACCTAGGTTGTGAGACTAAACCAAAGAAAGCTGTTTAATCAATGAAACCATGGGAAAGTTAGAGAAGAAAGGAACCAGATTTAAACTGCAGTAGCCATTGAAGAAGACTACAGCCCTGTGTTAATAGAGGACAATCAACTCCTTAAAGGGTTTTCATCCAGGCATACAATAAAGATTCTTGTCTGGCAATGCCCTAATGTAGTTTCTGAATAGCTTCTGTGAGTTTGAGTTGAGGACACCTGTATCTGTGTCAACTTATTACATATTGCTTTGATTCTCTTTGAGAATTCAAGGGCTAAAGAGCTAAACAGCTAAAATTCTGGGTAATGCCCTGTTTCCCTGAAAATTAGACCTAACCAGAAAATAAGCCCTAATGCGTCTTTTGGAGCAAAAATTAATATAAGACCCCGTCTTATTTTCAGGGAAACACGGTGTCAAACTTTAGGATAGTCTAGACCAGGGGTAGGCAACCTTGGCTTTTTTATGACTCGTGGACTTCCACTCCCAGAATTCCTGAGCCATTCATGCTGAGGGGACAGGAGAGATTTCCATGCTGAGTCATGCTGGCTCAGGATTTCTGGGAGTTGAAGTCCTCAAGTCATAAAAGAGCCAAAGTTGCCTACCCCTTATCTAGACAATAATATGACTCAACACCCTGGGCATAGCTCTACATCTCTACTAGCAAGCAAAAAGCAGTAAGAATGGGAGCAATGTTCAACTCTCAAACGGTTTTCCCAGTGACCTTTCTTACAGGAAAATGGCAGGGAGCATTGGAATGGTGATCATGTGACCACGGCAATACAGCAGCACTGAAGCAATCCCAGCTTTGCCAAATTTCAATTCCTCAGGAGTGATACAGTCCCGGGTTTTGGAGGCACTATTTTACCCAGTGGAAGGTTACCAACCATCAGAGAGTTTTAGTAGTACATTATAAAGTTTCCATATCACAGAGTGGAGGAACGCATATCAAAAGCCGCTTTGACGACATTGAGTTCCCTGGAAATTAAAAAGAAAATAAAGAAAAGTTGTGGTTGTTTGTACTTCAAATGACCTGGAGATAAACACAGACTTTCTATTTTCGCAAGTCTCATTCCATTAACTTCTTTTAACCTATTATTATATTACAAAGACCAAAAAGATCTTGCTAGCACATTTTAATATTTGAAAACGGAAAAATATACTTGCAAAAAAAAGTATTTTAAAAGGGCATTTCTGTCAGTTTGTGAGTTCATTATAACAGTTTAGAGTGTCGCTATGATTAGCTCTGGGTAAAATAAATACGAAAATGAGCTGGCTTCCAGGAAATATTCTTACATCATTATTTTAAGCCAGTTTAAAAGATGAAACTAATGAAAGAAGAAATACGTTGAGAGAAAAATTGAATTCACACTAACCAGGATCAGAAAGCTGATTTTTTTAAAAAAAAAATTAATAATAAATACATAAATAAATGGAAAAATTGCACTTTTGGGTGGGTATTTCAGAGTTGGCCACTGGTCATACAACATCTGTGTTTATGAGAAACCATTTAGAGAGTGCATGAGTGTTGCAGAAAATATTTTTTAAAAAAAACTAAACCAAAGAACCTAATAATTTATCCAGAAACATGTGTCTCCCATTGGTCAGTTTAGTGCCTTAAGAGGCTCACAAGCAGCTCATGAGGGGCATGGTCCTAGAACAGGCATGTCAAACTGCCGGCCTGGGGACCAGATGCGTAATGCCGAAACCGCGCCCAGCCCATTGCCGTCAATGGAGAAAAAGTCGTGCGCGACGTCACGTGACGTTGCGAGTTTGACATGCCTGTCCTAGAAGTAAGATGTACATGTCAAAACTAATGGTTGTCAAGTCAGAGATCATCCTTACAAACTAAATATATTATACAATTATGCCGTGTGTGAAAAACTTGCTTTTACGTCTCCGGAATTTTTCATTATTAAATTTCATTGAGGGCCCTGCAAGAAGGAGGGAAAATAGCTAACTTCCTTCTGTCTCACAGCGACCTTTGATTTCTATTATTTATTGCTTATTAGAGATTATCACTCAACTGACAAGATCTCTTGGCAATTTATGCACATCTGCCATTTGTTTCCTGTTGGCAACTTTCCTTTACAGGAATTGCTGCAACCCCTTAGTCATTAGGTTTTACAATTCCCAGTATGGTGACTAAACTGCTCTTTGTATTTTTTTATCCGATGACACTAGAATTATGTATTGAGACAATGCATTAGCGGTTTTGCTTTTTGACTCAAGTGTGCAATTAAGTATTAGAAAAGGGACACAGAGATCCATGTACATACAACCCACAAATATTTAATGCCATTAAGTATTCTATAGCTGCCTTGGATCTTCCAAGGCCTCCCTATCTTAGCAAGTTACATGGAGTGTAAATGGTTATAAACACAGAAGCATAAAGATGGAGAAAGTTAGGAGCTACTAGTTTTTTTATTATTATTTTTACTTCTTTTTTCTTTCCTTTTACTTTCTGGTTTTTCTTTCTTTATAATATACACAAGCAACATTAAGTAACAATACACAGTTGATATCTTAGTATTATATATTTACTATATAATAAGTCACTTGAGCATTTTGCAGTTGTTTATCAAAGCTCCATTCAGCTCTAGATGTATATTTTAAGCAGCCTTAAACTGAAGGCCAGTTTGGTTTAGTGGTAAAGGCACCAGGCTATAAAGTGGGAGGCCACGAATTCAAGTCCTGTCTTAGCCATGAAAGCCGATTGGGTGACTTTGGGTGAAACTCTCTCAACCCACCTCACAGTGTTGTTGTTGTTGTGGGGACAATAAACTAGAAAGTAGTATTAGGTAAGTTCACTGCCTTGAGCTATTTTTAAAAATAATAAAGGTAGCATGCAAACAAATATTAACAATATTTTAGAAATCATAGTTAACATTGATATAACTCCTTTTTTTTCTTTTTCTTTAAAAGTTTAAGCTATCAAAATCATGTGAGGGTGAATAATCTTTAGATAACACTATATAAATTCCATTCTATCCAAATAATATAATGCACTACTTGTGTGTTTAAAATAATACAATAAAATTTTTAAATTATTTTTGAACTGAAATGAATAAGTAATGGGTAGACTTTCTAAATCTATATTTTGATTTTCAATATACGTACATATTGAATGTATATTTAATATCTGAATCATTGCGCAAAATTGCACAATAGAATCTATAGTCTGAGAAAGGGTGCTAATCCTGGTACTACGCAATTATTTTCCTCTTTTTGCTGTGATACTTATGTACACCGAGTTTTTACAACTCTCCTGCAGCAAATAGTTCTTTTCATAGATTTATATGAGGGATCCTTCCATCTCCTCCCTGTTTACATCATCTCAGTAACATAATCACTGACTATCATCACAGCAAATACTTCACTTTAGCCATAGAAAATAATTTTAAATTTTGATTATGTTTCTTCGTTTATTTATTTATTTATTTATTTTGAACATTCATGAACATTCTTTGTGCAAATTCTTGAAGGACAGGAATAGGTAGGAAGAAGGGCTGATGCATTAAGGCAATAAGGGTTTGTTTTACAAGAGACCTTGTTTAATTTAAACAGATTTCCTTGAAAACAAGGCCATTGACTGGGCCTATAAAGCATCCTTGTTTCACATTTAGTTTTTCTTCAGGGTTCATTGGATTTGAGTGTTTTTATTTTAAGTGACCAAAGTATGGCTTGCAATTTTCCCATGAAAATAGTTTTCTCTGCTTGGTTGAGCTTCCTTTGCTTGTTGACCATGTGTGTGTTTTTGCTTTCCTGTCTCCCCAATCCAGTGGATGACACTGTTGTTGTTATTCCCTATGGAAGTCGCCATGTTCGCCTCGTGCTGAAAGGTCCTGATCATTTATGTAAGTAAAAATACACTTGTTATATTGAAATACTTGGAAGTCTAATAACCCTTGGAACTCTGTTTCAAACAAGGCTGTATCCTTTATTTTAGGGAAATATGAACAAGGGGCTACATATATTTATAGGGAGTCCATATCTGGGCCGCAAAAGTCCAGACGACCATTAGATCCCTCTTTTTGCTTAATTTTTTTAATTTTGCTGTAATTTCTTTGGTTGATTGTTGTGAGCTGCACAGAAGTATTGGATCAGGCAGCATACAACTTTAAATAATAATAATAATAACTACAACAATAACAATAATAATAGTACCAGATAGGATTATCCTAATTTATATGAAAGTGTTTTCATATAAATGTTTTCTAAAACTGCTATCTGACTTTCCACTCAATATGTTAGTCAATGTGCCCGTACATAATTTCTGTAAAATGTGTTTTTGTTGATAAGAATATAATAAAAGCTATGATGATATTTATTGAGCTGAATTACTCATGAATTTAACACTTGTTCTTATGCTTATCTTTGTTTCATGGAGCCAAAGATAAAGGAATCAGCAACTGGATTGTGCTATTAAAGAGGTTACCCATAGAAAATAAAAATATGGGAGGAAAAAGGTTTGGGAACTATATTGGTTGGTTTACTGAATTAGAATGTGATTGACAGAATTATGATTGGGCATTTGTATACACTACAGTAACCATTGACTGAAAGACAAGAGATAATCTAATGGTAAAGCAAAATTGTGGATAAATCTTTTGTTGGCATTTGAGGTTTGTTCCTCCCACATTGGAGACTCATAAAAACATGCTGATTCCTCACTTGGAATGTAGAGTGATAGAAAAGACCCAGAATAAGCTTTTCTTGATATTCTAAGCAATTGCTTTCTAACTTTCCTTTATGCTGCCTATACAGATAAAATGTTGTATGCAGTGTATCTCTTCCAAGTTGCCCTGCTTGATTCCTAACCTTGCTTGGCTTCAATACATTACATGCTGCTCTTAATTTAGGCATAGAATTCTGTATGTCATGTATATTCAGCAAGTTTCCTATGTCCCTTTTTCAATGGAAGAGTTAAATTGAGCTTTTTCTCCAATTATACTGTTGTATAATTGTACAGTCCTGTACAGAAACTATTCGACATATAGATATTTTAGATTAAGTTATGTCTTTCAGAACTAAAAGGACTATCCAGGCCTTTAGAGACAGTAATCATTTGCAGCTGGTTGTCAACTGTAAGATACGCAATAGTAAAACTACAAAAGGGCAAAGAGCTTTTTCAAAAAAAACCTTCCTTGCTTCCATAAGCGAGGACATTTTATGATGGGTTATATATGGATTATATTCTATGTGTTCTTGATAAGCTACCTTAGGTACATACATTTGTTCTTTGGTGTAAAATGTGTAATTGTGAACATTTATCAGTAGATTGCAAGTTATAAACTATGAAAGAGGGAAAATATGTAGTATTTGCCTACAAGATACAACAGTAAGAAATAAATATTATTTTGAGAATGCTTGGCCTGTACTCCTGTGGCTCTTATTTGCGATGCATGCTGTTTCTCAGACTAATAAACATTATTACTTTGGTGCTCTGCTGCCAATGGAATTAAGGAGAGCAGGAGAGAAAGGCATTTAAGAAATCAGTGTCTAGAAATATAAGAGAGGGAGCAAGTACTTTCCACTGGATTAGGGCAGGATTTTTGCCCTGATGCTGTCTGTTACTTTTAATCCTGGATTTAGTCACAGAGTAAGGTTACGTTGTACTGTAGTTGTATTATGAAGCACAAGTCTCTGTGTAGAACTATCAGAGTTGAGCTGCCATAATCTGAACTACTATTAGATAGCTAGAAAGGCAGGACAAGAAGCAACGGGTGGAAACTAATCAAGGAGAGAAGCAACCTAGAACTAAGGAGAAACTTCCTGACAGTGAGAACAATTAATCAGTGGAACAGCCTGCCTCCAGAAGCAATAAATGCTCCAACACTGGAAGTTTTTAAGAAGAGACTGGACAGCCATTTGTCCGAAATGGTGTAGGGTTTCCTGCCTGAGCAGGGGGTTGGACTAGATGAACTCCAAGGTCCCTTCCAACTTTACTACTATTACTATTACTACTCTTAAGGATACATTCAATGCTTCAGGGTAGAATTGAAATCATAGTTGGAAGGTTCTGTATGTGTTTAGATCTTTTTTTTTTTTCTTCCATTCAATCATGTGTGCTTCTCAGACACTGCCTGGACAAATTCCTGCAGTTTCCTTGGAAAAGTTTTTCAGATGTACGGTAGTTTGCCATTGCCTCCTTCCCAAGGCTGAGAGAAAGTGGCTGGCCCAAGGTCACCCAGCCGGCTATTTGCCCAAAGCAGAACTAAAACTCTCAGTCTCTATTTCTAGCATGATGCTTAACCATTACACCAAACTGGCTCTCTGCTTCGATAATAATTCTTCCCTATTCATTTCACGTTCCCCTAAATAGATAGTAACGGTGATGAGATAAGTGAACGAGCAAATGTATTAAATAGGGCATTACATATGTCAGTAGGCTTTTGCAAAAAGAGAAGAGATAGTGTGCATGATTAAAATGGAGTACAAAGGCAAAATTAACCATATCTGAGGCATCACCTTGAGTAAGTTATGTGTTCGGAAAGTATATATAGCAATGGGTTTAGTCTTAGAAGCAGGCAGAATACACATCACGGAGATCAGCATCTTGCTAAATACTTGGGGAAAATATGCTCCTGTGGCAAGCAATGAGTACTTTATTATACTGATCTTGGATAAATCTTGACAATGTAAACTTCCAAAATAAAAATATAAAGCCTAGAGCAGTGATGGTATGGAAATTGCATAAGAAAACAAGCCTGTCAGGAGTCCAAAAATTGCATAAGCATTTTCCCATGATTTTCTGAGGCTTCAGAGGCCCCATAAAATGTAGAGCTCTCATGTGCAATTTCCAGAGGGTCTGGAAAGGCCACATTTTTCCAGGAGTGTGTATGTGAGAGACACACCATCAGAGTCAAGGTAGGCATTTTCTGAATTCTTGATGCACTGAGCCCAAAAAGCTTGCCATCACTGAGCTAGAGCATTGATTTCTGAAAAAGTTTTCATAGAAAGAATATGTCATTACATGTAGTGTCAGGTTTATTACAGCCAGAAGATCTGAATATGTTTCTACATTTCATCATGACATCTCATTTTTACATCTCATAAACACACGGTTTATATAAATCATAAATCTGTGATTCCACTTTAGAATAATCTCTCCAGCATATTATTCAAAAACTATATGTGAGTGTGCTCTATCCAAAACAGCCACTGTTCTTTGTGTGTTCTCTTAACCCATGCATTTCCAGGCTATCACAACTGGATGGTGTAGCAATTCAATCTCAATCCAAGTAAAGGATGATGCTCATGAATCCCTTAAGTATCCTTCGATTAACTGATATAATATTGTGAGTGCTTTTTGTAAAATGGAAAATGACATTTGAACGACTGTGGATGACATGAATGAATGAACATACAGTATATGTCTATACCAGGGGTCTTCAAACTTGGCCCTTTTATGACTTGTGGACTTCAACTCCCAGAATTCCTCAGCTTGGCCCTTTTATGACTTGTGGACTTCAACTCCCAAAATTCCTCAGCCAGTGTGCCTGGGAGTTGAAGTCCACAAGTCATAAAAGGGCCAAGTTTGAAGACCCCTGGCCTATACTGTATTGATTGCGGGGCTACCATTCCCTCTTCTGCATGGCTAAGTCTAGAGAAATTGACACACCAATACAAATGTTAACTCTGATGGAAATAGTCCTGTCTTACACAATACAATAGATTAGTAGATTAGATAGAAGCGAAGTGGAAAACCAGAGAGGATGGTATAAAGTAAAATGGGTGAAGCACTAATAATATCCTCAATTAAATTCAAATAAATAATGCTTTATAGCTGGTGTTTTGCTTGATGGCTTTATTTCTTTATGCCAAGGAAACGATTGTATGTGACTCTTCGATGTGCTTGTATTTGTCAGATCTAGAAACCAAAACTCTGCAAGGTGTGAAAGGTGAAAACAGTCTCAGCATCACCGGATCCTTCATTGTGGATAATTCTTCTGTGGAGTTTCAGAAATTTGCAGACAAAGAGATATTGAGAATATCTGGCCCTCTCACTGCAGATTTCACAGTAAAGGTGAGAAGCTTTGAACAACTGACCAACAATAGCACTTTGTAATACTTATGTCTTCTTTGTGGCAAGGATGCTTATGACATTGTCTCCACTGTACTGTAACAGTTCAAGACTTACGTTTCCCCTGCAAGTAACATGTGCTACTCCATGACACTTACAACTACAGGCAGTCCTTGACATAGGACGACAAGTAAGCCCAAAATTTTCGCTGCGAAGTGAGACATTTGTTAGGTGAGCTTTGCCACCTTTTACAACCTTTCTTGCCACAATTGTGAAGCAAATCACTTGGCACTGCAGTTAAATTAGTAACCCGGTTGTTGTGTGAATCTGGCTTCCCCATTGATTTTGCTTGTCAGAAGGTTGCAAAAGGGGATCACGTAACCCCCCCCCCGGGGACCCTGCAACCATCATAAATATGAGCCACTTGCTAAGCGTCTGAATTTGGATCAGATGATCATGGAGACACCGCAACAGTTATAAATGAGAAAAACAGGTATAAGTCACTTTTTTCCAGTGCCATTGTAACTTTGGTCACTAAATGAATGGCTGTAAGTCGAGGACTACCTGTATATGGGAAATACAGTACTTCCTGAATTATTGCAAGTAACATAGTCCATAAATGGATATGCTGCATTAAATCTTCACATAATATTAGACTTCTGTTCTTTGCCTCTCCCCCCCCCAACCCCCCTTTTCAGAACAACTACAGGAGAATAATTCGGGAAATCCTCTTAAATTGCTAAAGAAATGAGCAGAATTAAGCTCTGCAGTTTGTTACAGTGAGCAAACCAGCTTTGGCTGAGAAATCAGCAGATAGCTTAGAAGCTCTGTTTTGTGTAGAACTGGCAGTAAAGAATCAAATTATTTCTTCCCCACTAATGTTTTCTTCTCATTAATTTTCTCCTATTCTTCCAAGTAATTGAAAACACATTGCGGAAAGTAAAATACGTATACTATAGAGAGGCTAAGAGGCACAGTGGAATGTACGCCTTTGAGAATTAACAAGATAATAAAACATTTTGGAGCAGATGGAAGTGGGTCAAGAAGGGCCTGGAGATTTTAAGATACAAGCTGTACAATCTATAACAGGTTTTAGGGTATCATAATTTTTCACTGAGGACTCCCAACAAAAATGGTTTGATGCCATGATCATTAATGGATAGACATATAGGTTATGCTGCAAGGGGGATAGGTCAGGGGTAGGCAACCTTGGCTCTTTTATGACTCGTGGACTTCAACTCCCAGAATTCCTGAGCCAGCCATGCTGGGAGTTGAAGTCCACAAGTCATAAAAGAGCCAAGGTTGCCTAGCCCTGGGATAGGTGATGGACACTGCTGGTTTCACTGCTACATGATTTAGACACCAGGACTAGAACTGTTGGAGTTTCTTCCAATTTAATTCCAGGTTTGTTGGCAGGTCAGTAGTTAAGCAACACAGAAGCTTTTATCCCATCATAAGGTGAAGACAAGGCAGGAAATCCTCTTCACCTGCAAGTTGTGGGTCGACAAAAAGGTTTCAATCCATCCCACTCTTCAGCTAGTCTTGGCCTACTTGTGTGAAACAGAGTGAATGAGAATGTTTAATTATACAAATACCTTATAAACTTATCTTTTGGGAAATTAGCTTGATTGACTAGGTAATTAATTGGATAGTTAATCAGTGATTGGATAAGTAATTAATTAGTTAGTTGGTATTTGCAAATCAGGAATAAAATGGATAAATATTGAAGTATTTATAAGGGCTCAATGCCCTTAAATTATGGCCTATTTCTTTTTGTCTGTGATTATTTTCAAGTAAAAAGGGTATGGATAATTTTGGGTTGTTCCCCTTTCATCTCCAATACCAACTTTGTTGTTCAAAAGATTTTGCCAGATTTCTAGAGCAGATACGGGTTGAGATGAAGGAGATAAAGTGTAGATGTTTGAAAATTTTGTAATTCCTTGAAGTTTTCCTTCAGCAGAAGGAGCACAATTAGCTATCACCCATTCTATTTATCTTGCTTTGCTAGGCTGAATTGTATGGATTTTATAAATCCAGATAGCTTCAGTTGAATCTGGATGCTACTTTTTATTTACATCCATTTCAGTTTGTGCTTCCATAGGAGATATACTGCTTAGCCTGTTTCAGTTGCTTGGTGAAATGGCCTATGTCAGTGGTGGCGAACCTATGGCACAGGTGCCAAAGGTGGCACTCAGAGCCCTCTCTGTGGACACACGTGCTGTTGTCCCAGCCTTGCCTCCCCCCGCGACCCCCTCCTCTCCAGCAGCCCCCCTGAAGGAGAGTCGCCCCCGAGCGTGGCCCGCACAGAGCAGCGCAGCCAAGGACATGGCAGCCAGGCAGCATAGACAAGACTCTGCCCTCACACCCCATCATGCAGTTGATGCTGCAGGGCGCGGGCAGAGGGTGTGGCCGCCATAGCGCTGCTGGGCTGCCTGGGCGATCTGCGGTGGGCCCTGGAGGTGGTGAGTGGTCCTGTGGGCAGGTGGGGTGGGGGATGGGGAGGCAGTGGGGGGGCAGGGGGGTGGAGCAGGGGCGGGGCCAGTTTTTGGGCACTCGGTCTCTAAAAGGTTCGCTATCACTGTCCTATGTTGAACCCAGGAAGAGAGAGAGATAATTTCTGATAATTTTCCTAAATATCTCAAATGTTTGGTGGTATATTAACGATAATGCCTTTTTGGATCATCTGGCAAGATTAGGCATTGAAGATGCTGTTTTGTAGTAATTTTTCATCTTTCCTAGATATGCAGCCTGTTCTTCAAACCCTAAGCAGATGTCCTGAGGCGCCTTTAGGGTTCCAGCTTTTCCTCCATGCTGTTCAATGTTAGTCAAAGCTTTAGAATAGAGGGAGTTGGGAATGAATAATGATTTAACTTTAAAGTCCTCTCTGATTCAGCTCTTATAATCTGAAAAATCTGGGTGGCTATTGATTACTTATTCCTCAGTTAGGAAATGTTGCCTGATTTATGGATCAATTTGTTCAAGGTGACTTCCTAAGTTTCTGTCACTCAGCGACCTATTTTCATATCTTCTATGGGGATGTTACTTATTTACAAGTCAGTATGATATTTAATCAAAGCTTATAGCTATTAATTCAAAAGGAATGTAAGGAGTGGCCTATGCGTTCCAGTATTTAGTATTCCCCAAAATATGATAAATTATTAGAAACAAAGAAGAAGACGTTGATTGCTTCAGGATTTTTAGGATTATATATTGTGGTGAAGTTTTTATACCCAAGAATCAATGAAAGGGAATCTAAGCACATTATTTAATTAAAAACATTAGGCAACAATTCATAACTGATACTATTCGCTCTTATTCTTGGTTTGGCTTTTGGGGTAGTTTAAATTTCTAAATAAGAGCAAAGATAGTCAAAAATGTTTGGTGTAAGTAGGAAATGTGAGTAATCAGGTTCAGAATCAGCTGGTCAAAATCTGATTTCGCACCCACTCCCACACTGCAGACACCACACTGCAGACACTAAAGTTCTGTCAATTTTGTAATCATTATATTCCATCCTGTGTATCCTTTTTTGAAACAATAAACATCAGTATGTTGATTCCTTTCCCCTCGTTCGCCTTGTAATGTTATTTTTTCCATCTGTGATTAATTGCAATATATATATATACCCACCCAAGAGTGTTGGGGTTGGTAGTAGAGGCTATATGTATAATTCCCCATTTCGTTTGAGAGAAAGATCTGCATCTGTCTTTTTTCCATGTCAGAAAAGACAGATAATCAAGCAGACAACACAACGAAAATCCTTGGGGAGATAGGTTGTTATGTCTTCCTGACTTTTGATGTGGAATTTCCCAACCCTTTCTCCTAGGCCCCATGTAATCTCTCTTCTAATTTATTATGCTCGGCCTGGAATCTCACAAACATGAAATTTTTAAGGTTCAGGCAACACTATTGATAGTACTCTTTTTTTTCCCCCTTTATCTTTTCTGTTTAGTTAGCATTTTCCCCTCCAATGCTGTTGTTAATCTGTATTCATATTGGAAATTTCAAAGAGCTAAGAGCGTTGACAGCATGTACATCTCCCTGGATTCACTGTACTTTTCTGTCATTCCAAATCCATGGGTGATTCATGTACTTCTGTCTTATGCAAAGTATTAGAAACCTTTGCTGAGCAAAATGGTAGTTATCCATACAAGAGGCCTCCTCCAATGCGTAGGAAACATGTAATGTTTCAGCTGCAGTTCTTTTTTCCTTCTGGGAATATATATCACTATTAACTTGATTAAAAGAAAGCTTCGGGCTCTCATCAACAGACTAAAACTTTTATATCCTTCAACATGTCTCAAACGCTTCTGTCTTCCTCTTTTATGACCTCTTGCTTTTTTGCAACCTATGGATTCTTGAGTTTTGTTATTGTGTTTCTCTTCTGTTTTTGGACAAAAAAATGATGCTATTTCTTTTCTGTTGGTTTCCTTTTTTTTCTGGTTTATTTGTTTGTTTGTTTGAACAGTAGAATGGGTTTTGAACCAAGGGAATAAGCACAGGAACTTAGTTTATATAGATACAATCATGTAAGCTCACTATTATCTACGTGAGCCTTTCCTAAATCCATGCAAGGGCAAAACCCACATTGGTTGGAAATCTTAGGCCTTTTGTTTCCAATGCACATACATCAGTTTGTAAATATTTGTCTGTAATGACCAGCAGAAGTTTCTCATGTAACTGTAAGTAAATCTTTCATGAAAGTCTTTTTTCAGCCCTATCTTGACAACCTACGGTCCACATCTTTGCTTTTGGCTTTAGTGGCTTTCCTTGAGTGCACTTTGTCAAAACATCTCTGACAGCTTTTAGAAAAGTATTAATTCTTTCTATGACAGCATTAGGAAGCTGACAATTGTTTAGATTATCAGATGTTTTTATTAGCTTAATTATTTATCTGGAATAATCACCCTATTTTAAGACATAATATTGTTCTGGAGTAATGATTCTATGGCCAAAAAATAGAAGAGGCCAACCAATCATGATAAAAAAATTATTACCCATGATAACCTAGGACCCACCCTGCAAGACAAATGACAGGACTAAAAAGATTACCGTATTCATAGCTTTAAAGGCAAGTATTACACCGTATATCTATTTAAATATTTAATTGCCATTTCTCTATTTGGAAGCCCCTTGGCACTATTTAATTTATGCTTCTTGATAACAGAAGTTGCTTATCTGAAAATAATGATGGAGGACTTTCACTTATTACAACGTAATTACATGTTGCTAAGATAATATGTTTTAGAAACCATTGTTCTAATTATACGTGGATTGCAGACTAATAACTTTACCTGTAGCTTTTCTTCTTTTCAGATTCATTACGTTGGTCCTGCCGACAGTACAGTTCAGTTTATTTTCTATCAACCTATTATCCACCGTTGGAGAGAAACCGATTTTTTTCCTTGTTCTGTATCCTGTGGTGGAGGTAATGAATGATAACACTGTTTTCCGCACTGCAATTCTAAAAAGCACTGATATACATCACCAATTTTGTTTTTATTATGGAAATTCCTTCCTTCCTTCCTTCCTTCCTTTCTTTTATTTTTGGTTGTAAATATTTGTAGAGTTGTGGAATATTTGAAGATGTGGAAGTGCTGATTTGTCTTTAATTACCACATGTACAGTACAATGCAGCGACCTCCAGAAAGATCTTTGAAGAAAAAGTTCTCATATCTTATTTTTAGTCTGCTCTTTTTAAAACAAATTGTATTTTTCTAAGGGCCAAGATTACAGGTATCCATAATCCCTAAATTTTAATATCACTATCTATTTATCTTGGTTTGTTCCCTTATTCACAGCCTATCTATCCTTTCCTAATTATGCCACGTTTATAAAATACTGACTACAATTTAAAAGTATAGTTCTTTAAATAATTGTCATATACTCAGATTTTCTGTGGGGAAAGAGGAGTTGAAGTCATGCATTTTGTCTTAATTAAAAAAAAAATCCTAATTGCTACCTAGTTTAATAAGGAGAATACATAAGCCCAAGACAGGACAGAAGAGGTAATATACTCCCAGGATCAGGGGGGTTTATAATATGGATAGAGCTGTGCAAAGAACAGGTTCATGGTTTGGAACTGCTCTTTGACCTTTGATCACTCTGGATCTTCAGATGAAAAATGACGGTGGCAAGGAGTGTCACTACAGTACATCTGGTACATCCATTGTTATTATTTGGAGTTGGTTTGATATGGCTGAAAAGTTTTTAAAAAGCATCCCATAGTTCAAACTTGCGACGTCACATGACATCGCGCGACGTATCGGAACCTTTTCCCCATTGCTAGCAATGGGGTGGGCATGGTTTTGGTCTGATGCATCCGGCCCGTGGGCTTGCATTTTGATATGCCTGCCGTAGTTGAATTTTGCTGCCCAGGTAGCATTGCTATCATTTTATCAAGACAAAAAGTAGTTTTACTGATTCTGTACTATATTCATTGTCAGACCTGTTACCATACGTTAAATAAATAAATAAGATGTCAGACCTGTAGCTTGCTTAAAGCATGACATCCAAGTTATTAGTTGTCCTAAATCAAACGAAGGGGGAAAGGTTAATAACTTTTCGTGCATACAGAGCACTGTATATAATGACTTCTTAGTGCACTTGAAAGCCTATGGTTTGACCTTTCCACTGAAGGTATAATAATTTTTGAGGACTCCATTTCACTGTAGTAATTGTCACCATGGCTCATAAATAAAGCCTCAGGGGGAGCTATCCAGCCTTTGTGGTCAAGGATAGCAGCACCTTCTCCGCAGAAAAGACAATTGGCTTCTGGTAATTGAAATGCGATAACCACAGCTGATACTCCCATATAGGAAATTAGAGATGGGAAATGAGAAAAATGCACAGAAGGAGGCTTCCATTGAAGAATGCAAAGCTGGGCTTCAAGGGGAAAGATAAATCACCCAGAACTTATGAGTAGCTAGAGAGATCTTGTGTTTTCTTTTTTATTTCTTTAGTATGTTCATTTTCTATCCTCGCTCTTAGAAGTCCAAGATTTGTATAGGGGAGGGGAAGCAATCTGGCGCATTAAATCACTAAAAGAGAAGCATAAAATATCACATGGCGTGAGTTAAGTAGAAGCAAGGAATCATCTTTCATATACAGACAAGCACAGCCAAATTACAAATGACACCACTTCTACCAACTGCAAATAGAATTCATCAACTTTGAATGATAATTTATATGCATTTGATTTACCTTTAAGTTATGCATCTGAATTTAAAGATATGTATGATATTCGAATTGTATTCTTAAGATGTGTATTCAGGTATTAACATACTAACTAGGTCAGTGATGGCAAACCTTTTAGAGACCGAGTACCCAAAAACTGGTCCCACCCCTGCTCCACCACCTGCCACGCCCCCACTTCACCCCCATCTCCCACCCCGCCTGCCCGCAGGGCCATTCACCGCTTCCAGGACCCGCCGCAGATTGCCCAGGCAGCCCAGCAGCGCTATGGTGGTCACGCCCTCTGCCCGCGCCCTGCAGCATCAACTGTGCATGATGGGGTGTGAGGGCAGAGTCTTATCTACGCTGCCTGGCTGCCATGTCCTTGGCTGCGCTGCTCCGCATGGGCCATGCTCAGGGGCGACTCTCCTTCAGGGGGGCTGCTGGAGAGGAGGGGGTCGTGGAGGGAGGCGAGGCTGGGGCAATGGCACGTGTGCCCACAGAGAGGGCTCCAAGTGCCGCCTCTGGCACCCGAGCCATAGGTTCGCCACCACTGAACTTGGTGAACAGTCACAGAGCCACCTTATTGATAATGGATGGAAACTGATCCAGCGCTGTGCAATAAAATATGATTAAAATAACTTAAGATACATAATAAAACAATAAAAACACTGATAACTAGCTAACTGTGTGTGGAGAGATAATTTGTATCCCTGTGTATGTATGTTTGTCTGTGTGTCCATATGTGTGCGTTGCATACCCTAGTTCATGTAACACAACCCTACCTACAGTGGCCCTTAGCTTCGACAAAAGTTTTAAAGTATTGTTTCCCTGAGCTGGAACCCTGCATCACTGTTTATCCCTTCTTTGATAACATAAAAAAATATTTGTTTATTTTTCATTTTAAGTTGTTTTTGTAAGAAAAAACACTGTGTAAAAATCACTGAGGAAATTGTACACTGGCTATAAATCAACATGCTTTTAATTGTAACATCCAATCTAATGAGATATCTTATGCTAGCAGATATGGTTACGCCTAGAAGGTGTGTGTGCTGTGTTTCAGTTTTGCATTACAAACCATAAATGACATTTCTTGCAGGAATGTTACTATATCAAATTATAATCAGTCTGTCCATCTACATGCTACTAATGCTCTCCTATCCATTTGTAACCTGTACTTAGCCCAAACAGTGTATCAGAGCAGAAACATTTTTGAATCAAGATGCCTCAAACCTCTGAAAGAAAGTATGCAAAATCTAGGACCCATTATTCCTGTGTCGAAATACGAATACCAGTTGTATTCGCAAAAATGTGGCTGCCGTAGCCTCGCCAGTCAGTTGCCATCACATGAGCCTGATTTCCAATGCTCCCTGCTAGTTTCCCATAATCAAAAGTCAATGGAGAAGCCTGCAGGGAGCTGAAAGTTACCCCCCCCCTGCTCCCACTGCTTTTTTTGTTCACCTGCGGTCATTCTATTTCTCTGTTTTGGTAAGGAAATATCTCTGAAAGAATGACACAATGACTTACCTAATGTGACCTAATTGTTATTCAGATCCGTAGGTGATACTTGCTTGTTGATGTGGAACTGCATAGCTGTCTTTATCTTTACTCCATCTGAATTTTTTTTTAAAGGTTACCAACTTACATCTGCTGAATGCTATGATCTGAGAAGCAGTCGAGTGGTAGCTGATCAATATTGCCACTATTACCCTGAAAACATCAAGCCAAAGCCAAAACTCCAAGAGTGCAACCTAGATCCTTGTCCAGCAAGGTACATCAGTTAACAGTTTTGAGACACGGTTTATTTTGTACTGAAATACCAGCAGATTAATTATTTTCTTGTTAAACTTTTCAGAGCTTTGTTAAGATTCTTTAGTAGAACGTGGATAGAATGTTTGTGTTACCTTTGATCAGCAACAACAACAACAACAAAAGTATCTCACTAATCAATATTTCCTCAGCTAGCAAACATCTTTAAAGCTGCAGAAAACTAACATGGCATAACATAAAAGAAGGAATTGAGGTCAGTCTGGTTCTTTTTTAATGGGATCGTTTTTGAACGGACATTCAGATATTTAGTTTTTTTAATCATGTTAGGAGTACAGGCTTGTCCTTGACTTACAACAGTCCCAGTGGTGGGATTCAAATATGTGAACAACCGGTTCTCTGTGTGGATGCCACTTCCGGAAATCCGTTCTAGGCCTGGGCAACAAAAATTAGCTACCAGTTCTACTGAACTGGTGCGAACCGGCTGAATCCCACCACTGAACAGTCCGTTTAGTGCTGTTCAACAGCACTGGGGCAAAAAGTGACTTATGACTTTTTTTCACACTTAACAACATGGCATTCCCATGGTCACGTGATCGAAATTCGGAGGCTTGGCAACTGACTCAGATTTGTGACAATTACAGCATTCCAGGATCACTTGATCACTTTTTGCGACCTTCTGACAAGCAGAATCAATGGGGAAGCCAGATTGACTTAATAATCCTGTTACTAAATTAAACCACTGTAGTGATTCACTTAACAAATGTGGCAAGAAAAGTCATAAAATGGAGCAAAACCCACGTAACAAATATCTCATTTAGCAACAGAAATTTGGGGCTCGGTTGTTTTAAGGTGAGGACTGCCTGTAAGTCATAATAACTTAGAAGATGAACTAAGCCAGCTAATTCACAAATTATAGAATAACAGGAGAGGTTTAAAAGGTAACATTTTCTATTTTAAAAATATTTTAGTACATTTTGTAATCGTATTTTATATTGATATTTCAGCTTAAAAGTTGACCTAAAAAGGAAAGTAAAAAAAAAAATAGAACAACATGGAAAGAGAGTATTCAAACAGGAGAAATGTAGACTTAAGGCACTATTGGATTCAAGCATGAGCCAAGAATAGTAGCCACAGAAAATATATATAAAAAGGACGAACAGAGCAGTGTGAATAGCTTTATTTTCTGCAGTCTCATGGAAAGATGTTCCTATGGCCTATAGCAGAGGTCCCTAACTTTTTGGGCACCAGGGACCGGTTCCGTGAGAAAGATTTTTCCACGGAACAAATAGTGCGTGGTTTTGTATGCTGCCTGCATCCTGCAAATGGGGCTTCGCTTCTTTGTGTGGACCATTTGCTGGCATGCCACGGCCCAGTACCGGTCCATAGACGGGGTTGGGGACCCCGGCCTATAGAAAATATGTAGCATTCCATATAAGCCTCACACAGCATTGGATTGTCTGGGAGAAAAAAAAATTATATCAGGTACAAGACTTGGTTAGAATACAGATACGATCCCTGCTCTGAATTCTGAACAAGTCTGATAATTAGAGAAATGGAGCCTACGTACTGTGTTTGCCAATCAACACCTTGCTCTCCAAAAGAGATCAAAGCAGGGGTAGATAGTCCCTGTTGTCATTATTGTTATAACAGGTGACTCACATATTCCATTGATTTCTGAGAATTTATCTTGTTATTTTCCGATTGAATTTTGTACATAGGCTTGATCATTCAAAGGAAGACTTGTTAAGATAGGCAGCTGCGTGGTGCAGGCTAATTAAGAGAAGGGGAGAGAGAGAGAGAGATCAAAAAATCCTTCTAAGTAATAAGGAGTAATAGGAGTAATATACCACAGACCAATGTGGCTGAGAAGGATCCCGGGTGTGCAGGGTGATTGGCAGAGGATACAGCAATGTAAAAAATAAAAAACAATAATCATGTGTGAACAAATCAAAATGGCACTGATTGGCATTAAAAAGAGAGGCATTATGAACCTTTTAAAAGCACAAAGGCAATGTTGATAAAGACCTGTCTGACCTTTGCCGACACAGTTCCAGTTTATCATGAGATAGCAGATGCAGAATCTTGTAGCTAAGGGAATCTCTTCCTCTTCAATATATTTATGTCAATAGCTTGTCCCTTGCATTGGAGAGATGATTGTAATTGTGCCGTTATGGTTTGGGATGGCTAAAGATAATTTAATGTTAAAAAGATATGGATGCAGTAGTGCAGGCTAACTCGCTGCTCACTCCAGGAGTTCGATTCTGACTGGCTCAAGGTTGGCTCAGCTTTCTGTGCTCTCTGAGGTCATTAAAATGAGATTGTTGGGGGCAATATGCTGACTCTGTAAACCGCTGAGAGAGGGCTGTAAAGCACTGTGAAGCGGTATATGAGTCTAAGTGCTATTGTTATATAAGTTCTTTGCAGTATGAACTTCATTATCAATAATTTGGATCCTGGCTTTTTCAAAGGATGGTGGGAAGGAGAGCTTGAGTGGGAAGTTAAAAAGTTGTTAACCCTTCTTTGACACAGGGCATGAGAGCTATGTGCCCTCTCTTAGAGAAGCCATATCTCAATCCAGCCTAATATGAAAACTATTATCTTATCTCCAACCAGCCAATTTGGAGAAGACTGTAGAGAAGAAAGTGGTGATTCAGTCAAAGAGGGCCTTAGAGGAAGTGGATTATCTAAATCTTTTTCAATCCAGATTCAGGCTGGACATGGAATCAAAGCAGCAATGATCATTCTGGTTACATGATCTACATCAAGACTTTGAGGATGATCATTCTCCTGCTCCTGATAGGACTTCCAGCAAGTTAAAATAATATTGACCATATTTATGTGGGGATCCTTTCCTACTGTAGTAGTGGTTCCAGTCAGTACTTGGGTAGGGAGGAGGCACAATTTAACCAAGGTACTACAGGGCTCAATTATTTATCCTACTACTGTAACAACTATATGAAACCACTAAGGATGGCCAACCATCAGTTTGAGGTAAGGTATCATTACATTTTCATACCAGTTTAAGTTGATTATTTTCCTGTTCAGATGTTGGGAGACAGATGTCCATAACCTTTTGACTTTCATCTCTGGCCTGGATGGGGTGGTACTTCCTCATTCAAGAGTGGTGTGCAACTTGCGGGAGGGCTTCCTGGACTGTCAGCTCTTGCTCAATGAACAGGTGATAGCTGTGGCCAGGAAGGCCTTTGCGCAGCTCCATCTGAAGTTGCACCCTTTCCTAGATTAGGGGATCCTTCAGAAAATCATTTGTGCCCTGGTCACCTCACGGCTCATCCACTGCAATACACTCCAGGTGACACTGCCCTTGAAAATGACCTGGAAGTTATAGCTGTTCCATAATGCAGTTATTACTAAGCAGTAATGGGCAGGCCTTGGAATACCCATATAACACTTTTGCTTCACAAGCTGCACTAATTGCCAGTTTGTTTCCAGGTGTGATTCAAGATGCTGGTTGTTACCTGTAAGGCCTACATGGCATAGGACCTGTTTACTTCAGAGACCATATATCTCCCTGTGCCTACCCTGCTGAATCATTCTGGCAGGGTTGGTATGTTCTGATTTTTTTCAATTAAACAATGCCATCTAACAGGAGATCAGAAGCTTCTTTTCTCTATAGTGGCACCTGCCCTATGGAATTAGGTTTACCCCTTGAGATCTATATGGCCCCCATTCTGCTAGTATTTTGAAGGGGTCTGAAGACCTGGCTCTACAACCAGACTTTGGTAAGGATGACTGAAACCTCCTTTTAACCTCAGTTGTGTTTTTTTTTCCACTTGGTTGTAAAGTAACAGCAAATGAAGAGGGTAAAGTGCTTGAGATTTTAGAATCCAAACATATAATCTCCTGTCACATAGCATTCCCGTCTTAACAACTACCAATAAGAAAAACAAAAAGTCTGGATAACGGACATGGCAGTACTTGGAGACAGCAGAAGAGAAGAGAAAGAACTGGAGAAAATCACAAGATACAAAGTCCTGCAAATAAAAGTAGAATGACTGTGGCAAAAGAAAGCAAAGATAGTATCAATAGTAATAGGTGCCTTGGGTGCAATCCCAAAACATCTGGAGCAGCACTTGAATACTATCGGCATTGATGAAATCACCACCAGTCAGTGGCACATTTGCTTGGAACAGCTTATATCTTCCAACAGTACCTTTAACACTATCAAACAATAACATTTGCCTGTCCCAGGTCCTTGAAAAGGACTTAATAGGTGGATAAAAGTGTCAAATCTAGTCTAAACATCTGGCTGACTGTGCGACAAGCCATAATAATAATTATGACGATTTTATAATATATTTAAAGCTGAGGCATACTTTCGTTGAGACAAAAGTATATGGATAAGTACTTATTTCTATTCAAACCTCTTAGCTACTACAATTTGGGATGATTATGATAAGATGGGATAATAAATAAAGGCAGAGAAAGCATCCCATTTGACACATTATCTCAAAGAGCACAAGCAGAGACAGAGCAAGAATATTTTTCTTTGTCCCCATTCCATCATTAACTATTCACAGAGGGAGAATGATTAAAAGGGCATTCTATATGCAAATATTTGGATATTCTTCCAATGTAAAATGACTTCGGAGACTGCGGTTTTGAGCAGAGGAACTGAAACAAAAAGCTTAATCCTTCGGTTGCTTTCTGCTCAAAACAAACAGTAGATTCCAGGCTCCTGTGCTCGATAGAATATGGGTCTCTTATCAAATGTGAGAAGGGCTGTATTGTAGTGTTTATTATGGATAAAAACATGCACTGGGAAAATCTTGAGAGACTGCTAGCCTTACTAGTCACAGAGGTCTCTTCAGCTTATTTCAAACTGGCAGATTCTGCTGAAAATTTCTTCACCACTTTCCCCTTACTCTGTCATCACAATACTGAAATGTACTTGAATACTGTAGATAGTAATAATAAGGCAAACTAACAAGCAAGTACTGGAGCGGATAACACCAGATACATCACTAGAAGGCAAAAATCACA